TCCGTCCTGTAAGTTCTGAGGATCAAACTCAAGTTGCCAAGATTGACACCAGGTCCCTCACTAAGCCATCTATGTAGCCCTCAGAGCCACACTTTAAAGATGACCCACAGTGAGCCCCACAGCAAGGTAGGAGCCCAGTCAGCTCCCACTAACTCCAATGACAGATGCTACATTGCACAATCGCTCCCATATTTGTTTATCCAAAAGCATTATTTTGTTAAACTATTCCTAAGTGGGCAGCAATTATTCATGTGGAGAATTTGGAAGATCAACTTGTGACTGCTTGCCTTGTCCTTGTTTGGAGCCATAATTACATAAACACATTTTTTCTAGTAGTTTCTGAAGTCTAAGAGGCTGTTAGCGTGTAAATCTTCTGTCAGTCTGTTCCTATCTGATCACAGGAGAAAGTACAGGATGAATTGTGTTCTCTTCTCTATTTATATGTTTAGAAGAGTCCAATTGATTTTTTTCCCCAGAGTGCCTTGGGTCAAAGGCTTTGTCAATTTGGTCAGAGGACTCATTGCCAGTCAAGAACTCATCTACTTTTATCTTTTTGGACATATATCCAGACACCAGCTTTAGGACACTCTACACCTTTCTATCCTCCAAAGGCTGTGCCTTTCCATGTGTGTCCTGTCACCAGATGGAATGGATGAGTGGCAATTTCTTCACCTGAAGCTGCTATGCCAACCACCACACTGAACTCCCAACCCCAGCATTTGTGGGCCACCTCAAGGGCTGCTCTCCTGACCTTCATCTTGCCAGGACCTCAATGGAGTAGTCCACTCCCCCATCTGTCACCTCATTGAGTTCTTCCTGGATGGGTTTATACATTTAGAGGCCCCAAATTCTTCAGCCTTTGTGGATATATCTTTATTGATATCAATAGCATGATCCGGGGTCATCAGCCACTTTCCAGACCATGATCACTTCAATCCAATGCCTCCTATACCAAAGGTCACATAGTAGAACCAGCTCCACCTTGGCAGTATTCACAGCAGCACCACAGCCGATGGAAATGCTTCAAGCAGGGTAGCAGATTTTATCCAAAGGCACAAAAGGATTAATTTTAGCAACAGAATTGTCAGTCACAACTGTGTACTTGGAAAATGTACTGGTTCCCATGAAATGAAAAGTAGACTTTCTTGGCTGGAGAGGTAGCTCAGAGATTAAGAGCAGTGGCTGCTCTTTCAGGGGTCCTCAGGTCAATTACCTGAAACCACATGGTGGCTCACTTCCATCTATAATGAGACCTGGTGCCCTCTTCTGGCATTCAGGCATAATTGCAGGCAGAACACTGTATACGCAATAAAAAGCTGTGGCGACAGAATTTTGAAAAAAAGAAAAATAAACTTTACTTCGCAGGTAAATTTGCTAGTACCATCTGGCATTAACCCTTTCCTCTGAATGACTCGTCTTCTGTCAAAGTTTGCTTTAGGATTCAGACAAAATTTGCATTCTCCACACTGTAGGATGACAGTATCACCTGCTTTCAGCTTAGTAACCCCTTCACCAACATTTTCCATAATTCCAGCATTTTCATGTCCCAGTGTCATCAGGGAACACCCCTCAGGGTCAGCTCCACTTGGGGTATAGGCATCACTCAGGGTTTAGGCATCGGTGTGCAAACAGCAGTGGCAATGATCTTGATTCGAACTTCATGCGACTTTGGAGGTGCTGCTTCTATCTCCTCTATGGAGAGAGGTTTTCCAGCCTTCCAGGCAGCTGCAGCCTTACAGCTGATCATCTGGTTCAGGATCGTGTGCTCAATATCGAGAACCACCATAGCAGACCCCAGGTAAGGGTAGGGTGTGCAGGAGGGGAGGGGCTCACTCCCACATTTGTAGACTTCGCACAGAAATAGGTTCCATCACTATAGATGATTTTCAACTAGCAAAGGAGGTTAGCAAATATCCATTACAAACAGGAGTCTAAGCAGGCCAGAACTACTGACATTGGGACAGTGTTACAGGGTCATAAAGCAGTGCTCTGGGGGTTGTGTCCTGCAGAGCATACACAACGCTAAGCATAAGCAAGTGAAGGACACCATGATGCCCTGCTCAGAATGGAATAATAGGGCTCATTCTGACAGTGGATAGAAGACGAATTCTGTGTTCAAGGAGGGGCCTCTTGAGTCTGAGCGGGATCTGCAATCAGCACCATGTAGGAGAAACCATCTAGCCACCAGGTGGCAGCAGAGGATAGGAGAGACTCTGGACAACACCCAACCAAAACTTCTCCGGCCACCCTACCTTCCCTGGACACTGCCTCAACTTCAGACCTCCTGTGGCCCTGGATCCCCTCTCCCCCTCCCCCCCCCACACACACCTTAGAAAGCTCCTGCCCCTCTGACCTCATGTGCCCAGGCTCCTCTCCTACCTGTAGTAGTAGGGTGGCCTCAGCCTACTCCTCTCCACGTGCAGACTAAGACCAGGCAGCTCATTAAGCAGAGGTGGGGATCCCAACCCCAAAGTAAGATCTGGACCCATCCCAGAACCTGTCACTGCATCCTGGAGGTCACCCCTGGCCTTTGGCACTCCTCTCTATTAACTAACTAGCACTTGGCTCACCCTGAGTGGGATTTATTCCACTTACCCCAACTTGTTTGCCAACAGCCCCCTTATGATCCACTCAAGTCTGGCACTTCTTGGCATCTGGTGGAGCACAGTGACATGCATGGCCCAGCTGGCCTGACAGGTCCTGATAGGTATGGCCCGCCCCTGGGCAAGCTGCCACCTGCTGAAGCATAAAAGCCTGGTATCCCCCAAGCAGTTCTTAAGACTGTCACCATGAAGGGGAGCAGCACTCTTCTGCTGGTGGCTCTAACCCTGCTCTGCATCTGTGGTAAGTCCAGACCTTACTTCTGGGACTTTCAGGAGATAAGGGGCCCCAAGGGACTGAAATCCTGGGATCAGGTAGACAATGCTAACCGACCAGCATCACAGACCCCAACCCCAAAGTACAGGGAATCTGTTGACCCCAGTCCCAGCCCAACCCACCCTGACCTAATACTAACCAACCACCAAGGACACTGCTACCCACCCTGGCTCAACCTAACTTGACCAGACCCTCTGAATCCAGCTAGCCCATGAGAAGAAATTCCCCTGCACCAGGGCATGACTGTTCTTCCCTTTCGAAGTCAGGAACTCAGAGGAGACACCACAACAGCCCCTACTAGTGGTAATGGGGAAGGGATATGCTGATGCTTGTCCTGGGAGTGACAGGAAGATGTGGGACAGGGAAGATCAAGCCCTTCCATTGGAGATATATATATATATTCCCTTGCAACACAGGGCTGACTACAGCTGAGGATGACAATGAGTTTTTCATGGAATTCCTGCAAACGCTGCTGGTGGGAACCCCAGAAGAGCTCTATGAAGGGCCCCTGGGCAAGTACAATGTCAATGACATGGCCAAGGAAGCCCTGGGAGAGCTCAAGTCCTGCATCGACGGCCTGCAACCTGTGCATAAAGAGCAACTGGTCAAGCTGCTGGTAATTGGGCTTGGACACTCATCCCCAAATGTCTACAGTTTTTCCAAGACCCACCCATGCATGACACCTGATCACCAGTCTACCCTTGCCCCTAGACCTACATCAGCAAGCTGAGGTGGAGACCTCACAGAGAAGTCTCCAGAGTCCCTTAGTCTTGCTTCCCACATAGGCAGTGCATATGCACACAACTCCCCAAGCTGCTAGGAGGGTTAGACCACAGTGTGCAGACAGAACCTGTGTACTCTACTGGTATGCACAGACCTGTCTGCTGCTGGGACCGGTGGTTCTGGTTGTTGGTTACCTGTTCTCCTGGTCCCCACACACTTCTATTTCAGGTGCAAGTGCTAGATACTCAAGAGGACACATAAGCAGGCCCGAGACCTGGCTGAACTTCTGCAAACGACAGGACCAACCACACAAGCAGCCACGGATAAACTAAGACCACTGCTTCCTCACGAGTAAATCACCCTCAAACTGTTAAATCAATAAAGCCTCATGCTGCCCAGGCACTGGCTTCTCTCTCTCCCTGCAGCACAGGGGCACACAAAAAGTCCTATCAAGGACACCCAAAGATACAGACTCATATATGGGGTCACTTTCCAGAAGCAATGTATGAGAGCAGCCTCAGGACACCATGTGAACACAGGAAGGTATCCAGGAGGGGTGAGGTCTACAGTGGTGAGATGGAGAAGCCTAATCTAGAAAGGCAGGGCTGAGGGCTCTATGAGCATGACGGTTCATCAGAGGAACTATGCATAAAAAAAAAAAAAAAAGGCCAGGTAATGGTATAGCTAGCCAATACGCAGGCACTGGAAGGTTTGAAAGCAATCTCTTTCCCAAATCACCCCAGGAAAGAGATCCCAAGCTGAGCCAGAACCCTAAGGGGAGCCTTAAAGAGGCAAGAAGGGGAGCCCTGATGGCTCAAGGACACCCAGGGTCCTGAGAGATGGGCTTTGCCAGAAGGGCAGCTGAAAGAGCTGCAGGGCCTGAGGAGGTGTAGGAAAAAGCAACTTTTCTAGAGAAGCCCACCACAATCTCCAACCCAACCCTGCACTTCCAGACCCCCCCCCAACAGCCAGAGCCTACTGTCTCCCAGTTTCCCCAAACCAGCGATTCTTGTGGGCCAAAGCTAAGGGAGAACCTGAAACCTCACTATATCTACAATTGTCCCAGCCACCAAAAGAGTTAAAGAACCTGGAGCTTAAGAGGGTCCCTGGAGAGGTGGGGGTGTCTCTGGAAGGGGGACTTCTCTAGAGAGGGTGGGGGCTCCTTGGAAAGATGGAAGGCCCTAAAAAGGTGGGAGCCCCTGGATGGGCATGTGGTCCCTGGAAATGGAGATATACCCTCGAGGGGAGGTCACTGGGAAGGGTGGTGGTTCCCTGAAGACAAGGTCTCTGGGAAGATTAAGCTCTGATGAGAGGCCTCTGGCGGAGGTCATTGTCTCCATCACACACACTGTGATCTAGAACTCCCCGTGGGACATAGCCACATTCTAGAGCTCAGAGGCAGGGACCCCTCCCCAATTCTCAAAACTGGAGGAAAGAGGGAAGCTTTCTCTCCATGCTCCTTTTTAGGGAACTGCCTGGCACAGACGCCAGGGGGACAGGCCACCGGTGAGGAGGCTGGGTCCCAAGCTGCCCTAAGCCCATTCCTGCACGGAGGAGGTGAGGCCTCCCGATTGCTCCCCATGACACAGCTCAGCCAAGAAGCTCTGCACCCTTGCCAGCCAGCACTTTGCAAAGTTGCACCCAGGGTTCTCTGGCCCACCCATGCTCCTCCCTCCCCCCCCCCCAGAGCCAAGAGAATAGACAGGGCAGGGTCAGGGTGGGCAGCCCCTCTAGGCCTATCCTGAAGGCATGACTCCCACCCATATCTTGGAGCTGGGGAGAGGTGAGCTCACCACACTAAATGGGGAGCTCCCTCTGCTTGTAACTGCTCAAGACCCCCCATGTCTCCATGGGGCAAGGACTGGGCCTGCAAGGTGCAGTATCAGCAGAACCAGGAATGGGGGACATGAGGGCCAGGAATGAGATGGGACAGGACATCCCAGCACCTGGTCACCCTCTTGTCCATGGACAGAGCCAACCATGGCAGAGGAGGTATGGGTGGGCACCTGGAGGCCCCATCGCCCCCGGGGGCCCATCATGGCCCTCTACAGCAGTCCAGGACCCAAGTACCTGATTCCACCTACCACGGGTAAGATTGCCTAAGGGTCTGGGGCTTGGTGGGGACAGGGGAAGAAGCCGGGAATGGTATGGCCGGGGATGGGTCTGGGCTCAATCCTTGACTCCCAGTGGAGAGAAGGATATCTGGCTCCAGCAGCCCTGAGCCCCTGTGCCCACAGGCTTTGTGAAGCACACACCCACCAAACTTCGAGCACCAGCCTACAGCTTCCGTGGGGCCCCCATGCTCTTGGCGGAGAATTGCTCCCCAGGGCCCCGCTACAGTGTGAACCCCAAGATACTGAGGACTGGCAAAGACCTTGGCCCTGCCTACTCCATCCTGGGGCGCTACCATGCCAAGACCATGCTGACCCCTGGCCCGGGTGAGTGACCCCTGCCTTCTGCTCCAGGCCCTAATATGCATGTCCTGATATGTGAAGGCCAGGTAGCCTCATTCCTCCTGCTCCTGGGGACACCGTCAGGCCTGAGCAACAGAGCCTGAAACCCACAAGTCCTACTCTACCAGGAGTCCAGGGACAAGGCCCACACCAGTGCTTGAGAACAACCCTGCAGCCAGTATTTCTACTGTGGACATCTCTGACCAAATCTGTTCAATCACCATGTTGGGGCCCAGAGGCCCTGTGTCTTGACTGTTGGGACATCCCTCGTGGGCACCCAAGAGTTGGGGGTGGGGTGGGGAGCCCCAGATGCTTGTTGTTCCTGCACACCCTCCCTCCTCTCCAGGTGATTACTTTCCAGAGAAATCTACCAGGCATGTATTCGACTCAGCACCAAGTCATTCCATTTCTGCCCGGACCAAGACCTTCCGAGTAGACAGCACTCCAGGTCTGCTACAGCCAGCCTACTGATGGGATGGAGTTGGGGTCCAAGCACAGGGTGGAGGTATCCCAGATACGAGGTATCTGGGTCTATCCCAGCCTAAGGCTCCCCCATCTCCCACAGGTCCTGCTGCATACATGTTGCCTGTGGTAATGGGGCCACACACGGTGGGCAAGGTCTCCCAGCCCTCCTTCTCCATCAAGGGCCGCAGCAAGCTGGGCAGCTTCAGCGATGACCTGCACAAGGCAAGGATCACCTCAGCTAAGCACAAATGGCCCCAATGACCTGTCTGATTCCCCCATACACAAGACCCATGAATCCCCAGACAACAACCGTCTTGTTAAAGCTCTTGTATCCCCTCCACCTCTGGGTGCCTGCCACATGCTCAGGCTACAATTCAGCAGTGGGGAGGGGCCAGGAGACCAACTGATATTAACACCCCCACCCCATAAACAATGGGGTGTTGCTCCATAGCTGGCAGACAGCTTAAGTATCTTTGATGAATCAAGTTCCCACACCTAACCCTATCCCCACACGCTCTGGGAAAGCCCAGCCTGTCTAAGCCCTCCCATCTTCCAGACTCCAGGTCCTGCAGCATACCGTCAGACTGATGTTCAAGTGACCAAGTTCAAGGCTCCACAGTACACCATGGCTGCCCGAGTGGAGCCCCCAGGGGATAAGACCCTGAAGCCAGGACCAGGAGCCCACAGCCCTGAGAAGGTCCAGGAACTAGAGGGGAGATAGGGGTCAGGGGAAATGATCCAGAATGTGTGGGGAGGGCCAGCACCCTGCCAGAGTGGGGATCACACACCCTTAGGATCTTGTGCATTTCCAGCAGTAGCCCTGATGGTCACTTTCAGTTACAGGACATCTGGGTTCTAGCCTCACCCCAGAGGTCAGCCACTGTCCCCAGTGACAGTTAAGGTTACTGAACACAGCACGGCCTTCACACAGGCAACCTTGGCCCCAAGTTCAGGAGGGACTGAGCCCCCTCACTCCAACCCCAGGCTGAGAATGTTCCTCACAGCCTCATCCTCCTCCTAGGTGATCTTGAACAAGCCTTGTGCCCCCATCGTCACCTTTGGCATCAAGCATTCTGACTACATGACCCCCCTGGTTGTCGACGTGGAATAGCCCTGCTCTCCATCCCATCAGCCTGTGACCACGATCCTCCTACAGAAATGCACTGGGTTGACAATGGATTGGACACTTCACCAACGAGTATGCTGCCAGCCTGGCCCTGCACCACACAGCACACTAGTTTGGACGGTTTTGACAAGTTATTTTTTTCTATACTATCTCCTGTTTGTTAATCTTGTTTCCTGCCATGTCCAAATTATTTAATAAACCACAGATTGCATTTGTAAGGGTTTATCTTGTCCAGAAGGGCCCTGCCTTGGCTTCCTGGCATGAAGGCCCTACAGAGAAAGTAGGGCTGGCTGGAGGCTCAGAGTTTTACCCAATGTCTGAGCTGCCCTTCACAGGTCCTCTCCACACTCAGGCTCTCTCTGAGAGACAGTAATCCAGAGCACCTTGAAAACAAAAGTGCTGACTGATGCCCAGGGTGTGTGTGTGTGTGTGTGTGTGAGAGAGAGAGAGAGAGAGAGAGAGAGAGAGAGAGAGAGAGAGAGAGAGCCTGGAGTGTGTGTGTGTGTGTGGTGTGTATTGTATATGTTGAGAAGCTCCATACATGCAAGGTTATGCAACCACCCCACACAGACATACCAGCCTGGAGTGAGTGTGTGTGTGAGAGAGAGAGAGAGAGAGCCTGGAGAGAGAGAATGTGTGTGTGTGTGTGTGTGTGTGTGTGTGTGTGTGTGTGTGTGTGTGTGTGTGTTGGGAAGAAGCTCCATAGGTGAAAGGTTATGCAAACACCCCACACAGCCAAACTCTCAGCTCATGTCAGCACTGGCCTGCAGGCTTTCAAGGAGACACACTTTCAGCCTACCTGCCAGGAAGGCCTGGGCATGGCCATGGCCCTTTTCACTGTGTTGCCTCAAGTTCTGACCACAGGAACAATGTAACAAGACGTGAGTTCTTTGCTGTTATTAAGTCCAAATCTTAATGGAGCTTGTTTCCACCCACAGCCAGTAGGATGTGTGCAACAGCCTGCAGCGTCTCTGCTGGGCCTGAGGAGTGTCTGCAAGGGCTCTCAGAGGTCCAAGGCACAGCAGGAAGCAGGGGTGCAGTATCACCTCAACTTTGGGGTGATCAGTGCAAAACAAGTGGCCTTACCCAACACACCACTGGGGCCTTTACCTACACAAGCCTGTGTGTCCCAGCCAACTTGCCCTTACTCCATCAGCCCTTGGGAGTTAACATTCTCCACGCTACTCTCAGATGGGTAGAGAGAGGCCACACAGAAGGAAGTTGGTGGGTCTGTGGCTGTCCTACCTGAGGGAGACAAGATATCCCTGGAAGACAGGAGAGTAGACTTCAGTACCCAAGGCCAGCTGCAGACTAGGGTTGGCCCAAAATTATTAAAATGAGGGACAAGGAATATACTGTGTCCAAGATTTTATTAGTGAGAGGCCTTGAACTGTAGGATGGACTTGGTAGTTCATACTCACAGCCCCTCACATTGGGCACCAAAAACTTCTTATGACTTGTGGTACTGAGGACCCATCCACAAATTAGGGGAAGCACCAGGTGCACAGGCCTGTGCACAGTTGGAGGATATGGTTACAACCTTCAGGAATTGATAATCCCCTTCACATCAATGCAATAAAGAACAGTTAAATATCACAACCCTGATCCCCAGAGTATCTGAAGAACTACAAACGGCCATGGAGATTGGTGAACAGGGTGGACCTCTGAGGAAAAACTAGCCATGTTGGGGCAGGAGGTATGTCTCATAGAGGGATTGTTCCAGAGGAAGTTACCCTCAAATGCAAATATTTACTTAGTACCAGCAAGATGATCAGATGCTGGCTGTACCTAGTGTCTTAAGCCAGGAGTGAATGCACATGCCTGTAATGCCATTATTCAGGAGGCTAAGGCCGGAGGATCATGGGTTGAAGACCAGCCTAGGCTACATAGTTTAAGAGCAGCCTGGGATGCACAGCAAGCCACTCTCTTACAAAAACAAAAAGTACACTGGGGTTTCTTAACATTCCGGGAAAGTAGAAGTCAGCTGCACATGGTTCCTGGGAGACAAAGCTGAAACATGAACATGCCTGCTGTGGGTCCAAATGGAAGGATACAGGCACTTATTACTGTGCTTGGTGACAAGCACAGGCCAAAGCCCAACCCTGGCCCATGGACAACGGAGACAAGGATGGAGTGCCTGCGATGGGAGGCCTAAGAACGAGGCACAAGCTAGATGAGGCCAGCTGGAAGTGTGCAAGGGGCAAACAGCAAAGCTACAGAGCAACAGTGTGGAGTGAGATGTACCTAGTGGGGAAAGTAGCCAAAACAAAGGATGGATCTTTCTCATCCAGGGCTCAGGCAGACTGTGCAATGGGAGGGCCTAAAGTCAATGTGTGCAAAGAAAGGCTCTCCGTAAGGGAAGAAGGGAAGGTGCCTAGCGCATCAACAGCAAGGCATTGCTACAGGCACGAGGCCAGGCTAGGACAGACTCTGGCTTAACCTGGAACTCAGAGGAAGTGGTTCTGGACAGATGGGCCTTATGGTATGGCCACATGGGTGGGCAGTGAGCCCAGGGAGAGAGAGAGACGAGGACACAGACATGAGTAAGGTCAGAGAAAGGCACAGAACTTCGTGGCTCGTTTCTTAGACATTTTATGTGAAAACAAAAAGTGCTGGGCTCTGATAAACTGTTGGCCCCACCAGCTCCACTGGTCAGTTTGTATACAAATGGGACTGGCCAAGGACGAAGGGAGGACCAGGAGAACAAGGAAACACAAATCTGTGGGGTTAGTTATGCAACAAGGAGGTGGCTCAAGCTCCCCAACAGCGTGGGAGACTGGCTGTACAGAGTAGGGCAAGGTTCAATATAAGGTCAAAAGCTCCTGCTACAAATTCTTTCATAGGTGGCTTTCTGCCCCATAAGGATCCCCAGCAGAAAGACCACTCCAGTATGGCCTGACTTTGAAAAGCCAAACTTCACAATTTCTCAACATGTGTGCCTGGAGATGGATACATCTTTGGCACTGAGAAGATTCTCAATCCCAAGGACACACATCTCAGCTCCTGGACACACAGTCTTGTGGCCCAGAAGGATCTTATTCCAATGCCGATAACAAGACCTGCAGTCCACTCCTCTACCCGCAGCTTTGCCTCTTCCCTGGGGTCTGACTTCAGCCAGTGACTGGTGGGTACGGCCTTGACTCGGCCTGCACAGGTTCGTTCCTGGTCAGCAGCCTCAGCCTGAAGTTACTGCCATATCCATCCTGATGACCAGCATTTGAAGAGGGCTTATGGCCATATCCCCATTCTGTGTCAGCTCCTGACTCCTCAAGAACACAGATGGTCTTAACTAAGCATGGGCAAGTTAGGGCAAGACAGAAGACCCCTAAGATGCTGGCTTTTGAGGCTGTCGGCCACAGTGGGCAAATTCAGGACCCAACGATACTCTGCTTAGACCTAGTTCATTCTCGTGCACTGTGGCTCTGGCTTTAACAGTGTCTCCACTGTTTGGTTTGGTTTTGCCTTTTTCTTCCTCCTTCATACACAGGACAGGAGCTCATTATGACAAAGGCAGCTGCAGTTGTCCCATCTTAGGAAGATGAATAACCCATGACGTTAATTTCAAAGGAATTCATTTTGTAATCAGGTCCTCAGGAAAACACGATACCAGGTGTAGGAGAGCCTGGCTGCCCTTGGGTCCCATTGGCTCACGTCCTTGTCCTCGACAAAAGGTAGGAGAGGATGAAGAAGGCCACAATTAAGACCACAGCCATACCACACAGAAGCTTCCGGTTGTCTCGCCCAGAGCGTGCCACTGTGGAAAAGCGCTTCACACTCCCGGTGAGTAGGCCAGTCACACTTGTGAAGTCTGAGTCCTGCAGGAGGGACCCAACAGGATCACATAGAGGTGGGACCCTTGACTACCCAACCATACCAGCACTGAAGGGTAGAGACAGCAGATCAGACAGCATGAGGGCAGAGCTGACTGTAACCTATATGTATTGCAGATGCTTACCATGCCATCTAGGTATCGGTTCTGGTCTTCTGTGTCCCTATCGATGTCCAAGGCCAGCTGATTGGGATATAGAGGGGGACAGTCAAGCAAGGACAAACATGGACAGCAGTACCCATCTTCCCTTCAGACCAGCAGACTTTATCCACAACCCTGCTAGGTATCACCAGAAAAAGCTACAAAGGTCAAGTTATTACCTGAGGCATCACTCAAGTTAGCATGTCCACAGACAACACATGGCCTCCTTCCTACCCACTTAGGCCCACTCACCAAGGTACCACACGGAAGGGAAAAGGACCATCACTGACCGATTTGAGCCTGGTAACCTTGGAGGCCAGGCTATCAGCCATCCGCTTGTTCTCTCGGTCTAGAATCTCCTCCACAGCACCAGAGCTCGGAGCTGCGAGAAAGAAAGACTAAAGGATTGTACTCACTCATGAGTGTAGCCCCTGCCTCCTCACCCCAGTGGTGTATGGCCTAGTGAGACATCTAAGATTTGGCCCTTATATGTCTGCTAATTTAGCAGGCCCCACCCTGAGTTCCAACAGGTGAACCATCTACACACCAGGCATGTAGCATGGGTCATGTGAGCATATGTCCTATGTGCATGCCCAAACAAGGATAGGCAGGGGAAGCCAGCAGGCTCAATCTACACTGCCCTACTGTATACTGGCCTGAACCTGATGGAACACTGACTTGGCTGAAATTACCATCTGTGGGTGTGGCACTGGTCTCCAAAGAAAAGAGTAAATTCTGGTAGGGGCATAGGAAAGACAGAACACTCAAACAGGTCACAGGAAGGCTGCGTGGGCCTTTCGGATCCCCAGAGCACTGTGCCTGTGGAAACCTGACTCCAATGGACTGGGGCTAGACATGAAGAATGTTGGTCATGGTATGTAGGTGAAAATCACTGCCCCCCACCCCAGTGGGACTGGCACCGGTCTGAAGCATAAAAAACCACCTCGTTGTGACCCATCCACGGGGATGGTCAGCAGCACCAGCACACATGTGACCAGACCCTAACTGAAAGGATTTCTGCGTCCTGCCAACCACTGTATAATCATTAGTATGGCCTAGGCATCGGTATCACACCTGACATACTGAACATAGGCATCGAGAGGTGAACCGAGGCACTCAGCCCCTCATCAGTAAAATCCTATTTGGACCCTCCGCTTCCAGCTCCTGGCACCAACCACAGGCAAAACTGATGTCATGCTCGGCTTGGGTCCCAAAGGCAGCGGCAGCCGCAGTCTGTCCCTGTTTTTCCTGGAATACATAAGCGCCACCCCACGCAGGCCCCTCCACCGAGAATTGAGCGATGGCTCCAGCTCTGGACCTCACTTCCTATCCCCCTACCCTCGGATGCCCTCACCGCGAGTCCAATCAGCCATCGCACCCTCCAGAGTCCCACTCTGGGACACCAAAGCACAGCACAGCGACGGACGTGGCACCAGCACCTGGAATTGACTTCCGGTTCCGCCTCAGGGTTAATAACTTCCGGGAGAAGGGATTAGAGCGGAAGAAACAAAAATGAAGGTGTTCTATGGAATGTAAATAAGGGAAGGGCGGGCCGCCTCCATTCGGGCCCGCGGATTGGCCAGCAATATTAGTCCCGAGATGTGGGTGTTGGCCGGAGCTTGAGCTCAGGCACAAACCCGGAGCTGAGGCTAGAGACCGGCTCAGTAAAGCAGTCCGATGCCTCGGGCGCTGCGGAAGCCCAGGTGTGAGAACTACAAGATGGGGAGGACAGACATAACTAAAGGAGACTGGAGAAGGGGACGCCAGGACCTGACACCCAGTAGGTGCAGGGCACGCGCTGGTTAGCTCAGCGGGTGACAGATCATCCACTGGAGCATTGCTTGTGTGTGTCACCGCGAGCTACACTTTCACCGACTCTGCCTTCAGCTACGTGTTGTGCGGACCTGGCTCCCCACCCTACCCAGTGTTCCAAGGCTTCTAACTTCTGACAAGCCACGGCAGGCCGCCCCTCCACTGCCCCTCCCATGGGAGTGGCTTTCTCCGGGTGGTTTTCACTTCTCTTTGATCCTTCCTCATACACTGCAACTTTTCTTTTTCCTTTGATAGCCACATTATTTTGGTGGTTTGGCCTTTTGTTTGTTTTAAGGACGGCCTCACTATGTACCCCTATCTGGCCTAGAACTCACAGATCTGCCTGCTTCTTCTGCTTCTCCAGTGTTGGGATAAAGGCGTGCGCCACCTCGCCGAGCTATCCACTTTCTTTTGACCACCCGAGTCGTTGTGCTTGTCTTTCCCTCTTGCCCATGGAGCATGAGCTTCAGGGTCTGGACCGTAAGAATCGCCGTGTGGCCCCAGTTGACTAAGCGCTCCCTTCATCTCTCTCCCTGTTAACCGACAAGTGCGTAAGGAGGGCGGTCCATGCAGGGGCTGAAACTCCACCTCCACACCCCACGCCTGCTAGAAACTCCAGCTAAAGAGGAGGAAACAAAAGCGGGATGCTATTTGGGTAGCTAGCATCGGGGCTCCAAGACAAGCCTCTCGTTGGTCGCAGCCAGGTGGGCTCCTCCTTAAACCAGAGGCCCGCCCCACGCCTTTCGGTTCGGCTGCTCTCCCGGCATCCCTCACGCGTGGACGCTGGGCTTCCGGACCTGGGCGGAGCCCGAGGGTTTGGCTGATTGCGTCTTCCCTGCCCAAGCCTTCCAGCGCCCGGTGCCAGGGGCCATGGAGCCCCGGGCAGTTGCGGATGCTTTGGAGACAGGAGAGGAAGACACAGTGACAGCAGCTCTGCAGTCGTTCAACCGGGAGGTGAGAGGCACCCGGCTGCCTAATAAATTTCATGGAGGAAGCAATGGTGTGCGTGCATCGCGGCTGGGGTGTGCGTGCAAGTGTGGCAGGGAGCACGGCCTTGGGTGGCGGGCTGGGCCTCGGGTGTTTCAGTGGTGGGGCAGGTGGATGGGGGGGCGATGGTGGTGGACCTTGCCTTGTGTTCAGAACGATGGCTGCTGCCTCAGAGGTAAAAAGCAGACTACTGCTCTGACTCGAGGAGCACAGGTCCTACCTGCGTGTGGTCCTGAGCCTACTGGGTCTCCCTGCAGCACTCGCAGAGCTTCACCTTCGATGATGCCCAACAGGAGGACAGGAAGGTAGGTGCTGGCCCAAGAGGCTCCTAGGGCAGGCATGGGCAGCCCCAAGAAGATGGCCTGGTGGAACCACTTTTGTTCCTCCCCATAGAGACTCGCAAAGCTGCTGGTCTCCTTACTGGTGCAGGGCTTGTCACCATCACACCGTGTCACCTGGCTGCAGACTATCCGAATCCTAACCCGAGACCGCAGCTGCCTGGATTCATTTGCGAGCTGCCAGAGCTTACACGCACTAGCCTGCTATGCTGACATCACCATCTCAGAGGAACCCATCCCACAGCCCCCAGACATGGATGTCTTACTCGAGTCTCTCAAATGCCTATGCAATCTCGTGCTCAGCAGTCCTTCAGCACAAATGCTGGCAGCAGAGGCTCGCCTGGTGGTGAGGCTAGCAGAGCGTGTGGGACTGTACCGCAAAAGGAGCTATCCCCACGAAGTCCAGTTCTTTGACTTGAGGCTCCTTTTCCTGCTAACAGCCCTTCGCACTGATGTGCGCCAGCAACTGTTTCAGGAGCTGCATGGTGTGCGCCTGCTGACTGATGCATTAGAACTGACCCTGGGGGTGGGTCCCAAAGAAAAACCCCCGGTGGCACTTCCAGCCCAAGAGACAGAGCGGGCCATGGAGATCCTCAAAGTGCTCTTTAACATTACCTTTGACTCTGTCAAGAGGGAGGTGGATGAGGTAAGCTGTAGCCTGGTCATGGGTGGGACTCAGCTCAGCTGGGACTTTTTGTGGTTTTGCTTCCTTCCTGCCTCTACTTCCAGGGTGTCAGACATGGCAAGGATAATGGGACAGTCAAGGCAGGGAATCCAAGGAAGGTTTCTGAGCTGTGTTGTGCGTGGGGTGGGGGCGTGTGTGCCCCAAGGCATTAGGTGGCCAAAGGTCACCAAGTGTGCTGTGGACAAGGCCAACTGGTGAGCTCCATGTGGGCCTGGAGTACAGAACTGTGGCGGCTGCAGACCTGGGCGGGAAATCCTGTAACAGGACTCCTTTCAGGAGCCCCTTTCTGTCTTTGGTTAGGAAGATGCTGCCCTTTACCGGTACCTGGGGACCCTTCTGCGGCACTGTGTGATGGTTGCTGCTGCTGGAGACCGAACAGAGGAGTTCCATGGGTGAGGGGTAGGGCTTATCGTGTTGGTGGTGGGGAGAATGCTTAGGCATGGTTACCCTAGTCCTCAGCCCTAGCTGTGAGTCAGAAGCACCAGGTCCCACCATAGAATATGGCTGTCAGGGGAATGGGACACCAGCATGTTTCCTGAAAGCCCCAGGAACTCGGGATATGACTAGGGGAAGAGCCAAGGTGGAAACCACAGGGCATTGTAAGGCAATGTGGTTTCCTGTTACTGCTGGTGGTCACCAATAAGTACCTCACCTGACCTGGTTTCCAGAGATTGCTTGGTATCTCAGTTCAGACAGAATGGGACAGAGTGTCTACTGTCTTACCAAACTTGAGTGGGAGTACCACCTGCCCTTGCCACTAGCCCTCAGTGCCTTTGTCTGTCCCCAGCCACACGGTGAATCTCCTGGGGAACTTGCCCCTCAAATGTCTGGATGTCCTTCTCACCCTGGAGCTACATGAAGGATCCTTAGAGTTTATGGGCGTCAATATGGAAGTGATCAGTGCCCTTCTTGCCTTCCTAGAGAAGCGTCTGCACCAGGTAGGTGGAGGTCCTGCTATGTTGTGACTTCTGTTTCTGCACTGTTGGTACTAGCAGGGAGAGGTCAGCTTGATGGTATGTATAACTGGGACGATTTCTCTGATTGCTCTGTGGCCTCACCGGATGGTAGCTACTCAGTTAGACCCTCTCCAAAGCTGTGGATACAGCATGTGTGTGAACCTCACTGCTGCTGATTACCAAAGAAATGGGGGCTTATCAGGGTCTGCCGAGGTGAATGTTGTTTTTTAGGTCTCTGCATTTCTGTTAAGCAGTTCTCAGAAGCCTTTGGTTCCTGCTTGGGACCCTCAGGCTCTGAATGTTGGCATACATTGACAGCCATAGATGACAGCATCAGTTGTCCTGCATTTTTTTTTTTTTTTTTTTTTTTTTTTTGTTGTTGTTTAGGGTTTTCAAGACAAGTTTTCTCTGTGTTGCCCTGACTGTCCTGGAATTCACTCTACAGATCAGGCTGACCTCAAACTCAAGAGATCAGCCTGCCTCTGCCTCCCAAGTACTGGGATTAAAGAAATGACACCACCACCTGCCCCCCACTGTCCTTCTGTATCTTAGGGAGACATAACCAAGGGTTACCTGACTCCTACAGCTATCACATGGGACATCCAGAGAGCTGGTGATCTAGCCTATCCTTGCACAACTCACACAGATGAAAGCCATAGATAGAGGTTCATTAGATCTCTGAGGAGCCATAGGATGCTCAGTGCCTATGAGCTGTGTGAGGACAAAGGAGCTAGTGTTGAATATACTAGCTGTGACTGTGTGCCCCTATTGCTATAATTGCTGGTTTTGGGCTCCAGGGAGGTAATGGAAAGGCAGGGAAGGGAAAGGAATACTGAGGCAGTTTGGATAGGGAAGCTAGTGTTTGCTTTTGCTGTTTCTTGAGAGTAGTATGTATCTGAGGTGGGCAGCCAGCTTCAGATGCTTTTATTTTGTTTGTGGCCCTGGCTTATTGTTGCATCTGTTAGTCTTAAAGAAGTGAGTTGTCTGACCAAGTCACAAAGCTTTCCAGTCATTTCCAATGGTATGTCCTGTCTCCATTACTTTTTTCTCCAATGGTATGTCCTGTCTCCATTAATTTTTTCTTTTTAAGGCTTTCATATACCATATGTAGCCAAGGATGACCTTGAATGTCTCATCTTCCTGCCTCCCAAGTGCTGGGATTGCAGGCTGTGTCACCATGACTAGTTTAGTGTTTCCATACTTTCTTAAGCTAATAAATACCCACCACTACCTTTGGCCCTTACTGTAGCATGGCCTCTTTACAAGAGTCTGTTGCCAGAGCCACTTGGTAAAGTGTGCAGTATGCCCCCATCTTCCATGGGGAGCATATCACAGTAACAGATGTCCTTCTTCAGACCCACAGGCTGAAGGAGTGTGTAGCACCTGTGCTGAGCGTGTTAACAGAATGTGCCCGCATGCACCGTCCTGCCAGGAAGTTCCTCAAGGCCCAGGTACTTGGAAAAGGACACAGAGCTGGGGAACATGAGTTTGACCCTCTTTATAGATCCCCACTAGCTGTTCCAAGTGAACACTTAGAGACTGCTGCTTCCCCAGGTTCTGCCCCCTCTGAGGGATGTGAGGACTCGGCCTGAGGTGGGGGACCTGCTTCGAAACAAGCTTGTCCGCCTCATGACACACCTGGATACAGATGTGAAGAGGGTAGCTGCTGAGTTCCTCTTTGTCTTATGCTCTGAGAGTGGTGAGTTGGGGGAGCCCAAGCCCCAGGCCTTCCCTGCCTCAGCCATATTCACACATTGACCTCTGCCCTGGTCTTCAGTGCCCCGATTCATCAAGTACACAGGCTACGGAAATGCTGCCGGCCTCCTGGCTGCCAGGGGCCTTATGGCTGGGGGCCGGCCCGAGGGCCAGTACTCCGAGGATGAGGACACCGACACAGAGGAGTACAGGGAAGCTAAGGCCAGGTACATGCCCCTAATGTACACTTGGGTCCCCCATAGTCCCCATTCCCCTATCCTTACCTCCAATCAGAACCAGTAGTGCATAGGACAGGATGAGGAATGGGTAAGACCTAAAATCAGGCACTTGTGTTCTGATGACAAGTTGTGTCCTGAGTGAACTGAGGCCCAGCAGGTGGGCTCTCTGGGAACCAGGAGGTCCTGGGCAAGAGTTGTCTGGTTGGTGTTTGGGGACAATGGCGGGGGAATCTCCCTTCTTTAGTCCCACCACCACCAAAACCGAAGCCTAGAAGGTGGGTTCTTGCTAACCCAGCCCTAAGCATGAAGATGGAGACTACCTGCCCCACATAGTCCCACTTTTCCTATAGCATCACTAATCCATTTTCCATACACTGGTTCCTGGGAAGCAGCATCAACCCTGTGACTGGAAGGGTGGAGGAGAAGCCACCTAATCCTATGGAAGGCATGACAGAGGAGCAGAAGGAACATGAGGCCATGAAGCTAGTGAACATGTTTGACAAGCTGTCCAGGTATGTGTTGTGAAGAAGGTTTGCAGTTGGAGACATGAGAATGATTCTGCTTTGTGAACCCAGGGAGACTGGCTTAGCAAAATCAGGATCCTAGTGTGGCTGTATTAGACATTTGAGATGACTTGCCCTAGAGGTAACCCTCCAGAAAAGAAGCTACAGTTAGCATTGCATCCTGTTTATAGGTAATGTAAATGAGGACAAGAATGTAAAGGACTGCTTAACATCTCAAAGCTAACTAGGTAGCAGTTAGGATCTGGGCCTGATTAAGTTAACCTACTCCAAGTAGCAGCCAAGAATGAACAAGACGCCCTGCCCTGCACAGTTTCTTCTCCAACCACACTGCTTTCCCTGCAGACACAGAGTCATCCAACCCATGGGGATGAGTCCCCGGGGTCACCTCACTTCTCTGCAAGATGCCATGTGTGAGACTATGGAGGGGCAGCTCTCCTCAGACCCTGACTCCGACCCTGACTGAAGATGGCAGCGGTTTTGCTCCCCTTCAGAACCGGTGCTGCTTCCAGACGTGTCCTTGGGGTGCTGCCTGCCTAGAGAAGCCACACTCCTCTCCAGCAGGGGAGTCTTTCTCCCCACACTATCCATGATTTGCCTTTGGTCCAGTTTCTTGTGTTTAGGACTGTGGTATAGTCTTACTCTCTGTGAAGACTGGGAAACCATCCTTAATTTCCACAAGTGAAATTGTTTCTTTGATGTTTGCCAAGCATATGCCATGGCTGCAGACGTGGGCAGAGTTGCCTTGGCACATAAGTGAACATGCATGTATGAAGGTGGTGTCTGAGTAGGCGTCCTTGTGTAAGCATGTCTGGGCTGGCATGACAGCTCAGAGCCTGTATGTGGGTCATATGCTGTGTTTCACACATGGAAGAATCTATTGGTACTGTTTAAGTATGTCAAAAACGCACAGAGCATCATAATTCCTATTTGTGGCCCCACTGAGCACAAGGCCAGTGGCCTTTTCTGAACTCTTCTTGGTCCTGGCTCAACTGCCACTGCATTATCTACATACCCAAGCCTCACTGGCTGTGCCTCACTGGCTGTGAGAGCTCAATCAGAACAACCCCTGGTTTAGTAATTGTATGAAGGCAAAAGTGTAAGACAAGGTACAATCTGAGATTTCTGAGGCACAGAATAAAGAGTTTGGGACAAGACTATATCTGTAAAGTAGCCAGGTGAAAGGATATTAAATAGAAACTAATTTCATTCTTTTTAGAATTCAAGATTTCCTAGACCACTGCACATCTGCTGTCATTGGAGGACAAAAACAGAGGAGCCCATTCATTCCCTGGGATCTGCTGTTGGGTCTGCCTGCCAGCCCAGTCAGAATGGGTGTAGGAACAGGAGACACTTCAACCTGGGAAACAGCCTAAACTGTGTGCACCTGGGTAGTAGCCCAGGAGAAAGCAGCCTGTGCTTAATCATAACTGCACATAGGACAGGAAAAGTAAGAGACCTAGGGAATCTCCCAGAGTAATGCCTGCCACTGGTTTTAGCACCATTACTGGAGAAGCCTGGGTGGCTTAGGAAGGGTTGGGCAGATGGGATTCTGGGTAGTCTTGACAGAGTCATGGGATAGATGGGCTCAGTCTTGTCATCCAAGAGGAAGATACCCACATAACCTGAAAAATATTAACACTTACTGTCCTGAAGAGACAAACAAAAGGATGCCAAGCTTTTATTCTAAAATTTATTTCATGCAAGAAATGAATTTTTTTTTTTTTTTTTTTAAGTAAAGATGCCTCTATAGAGACCAACATAATAGATTACCCTCATTTATCTCCTGGGTCTGGTGATAGATGAATATGTGTGCTGCCCTCCTGATAACCGTAAGGACCATTGCCAGAAAGAAGCATTTTGCACTACAGGCTTCAGCAGTGATGGGACAGAACACGTATGGAGCTCCTTTGCACTGTGATGGTTTGGCCCAGACTTATAAACCTGTCTGAGCTGTTTTCAGGCATGAGGTCTCCCTGGAAAGAGGATCTCCTGTGCGAATTTCCCATAGGTGATGAAGCCATAGTCTTATCTGTCCTGTCCACCCAGCTGGAACAGACAGGAGGTCAGTTAACTTCACATCCAGACAGGCTATATCCCACACCTGGATTAGTCACTGAAGTCAAACAAAATATTTTATGGAACAAGCATTTCTCTTTAAAGTAATCAAGAAAAGGGATCCCAGAAGGCCTAGCACAACATAGGTGGCTAAATAAAGACTGTTTTCCAAGAAATGGTACCAGCATACATTCTGCCCTAAGAGTCAAATTTTGGAACAAAAAGATAAAAATAATACTGGTGGTTGCATCTCATCCATGGAAGCAGTAAATGCCAAAGACCTTGTTTCTCTTTGGTCCATTTCATTAAGAGCTCAGGCTAAACATAGGAGGCTAGGAGCTTTTGCCAGTAAAGTTGAGACTGCTGGCCATGGCCCAGAGCCACAGATAGGCTAGAATTTTCTTAAGATTCTATCTTGGCAACAACAGAACATCAATTGTGATACATTCTGGTGAAATCCTCTGGGCAATGCTTCACCTGTCTATCTTAAATTGAAAGTTGAATGCTAGCACTCCACTATAGAAAATAAACACATACAACATGATTCTCATAAGAAATTATTTTCTGTCACAGGTACTGTAAAGTCTCAAAAGCATAGTTCTTTGGTTTCCTGTTCCCAATAGCTGTGATGAATATTTATTGCCTTTTTTGTTGTTGTTGGTTTGGTTTGGTTTTTTGAAACAGGGTTTTTCTGTGAAACAGTACTGGTTGTCCTGGAACTCACTCTATAGACTAGGCTGGCCTCAAACTCACAGAGATTCACCTGCCTCTGCCTCCCAAGTGCTTGGATTAAAGGCCTGTGCCACCACGGCCCTGCTATGACACTAATTAATAAATCATCCCTGGTTAGCTCTGTCCCATGCAAGGTGCAGAGAATCAGCTTCTCAGCCCCCACCCCCTTCCCTATGTCACAGAAACGTCCCCGCAATGAGTTGTGGAGTAGGAAACAAAAAGCAAGTCTGTAGGGCACCATCTGCCTAAATGCCAGCACTGCATTGAGTTCCCTGCCCACAAGAGGATGTGTGCACTCTTGGACTAGGCCCAGACCTTAGCATTTGTACCTTTCCAGTTTCCTGCTGGATGAGATCCTGCAGCTCTTGTGTCCAGCCCAGGAGGTCCACCAGCCTTTCCACACTCTGAACTACATCGCCTAGCTGTGCCACATCTGTGCTGCGAGGACTGTAAGCAAAGGGCCCCACCAAGTCTCGATTGATGAGCAGTCGGGGCACTGACTTCTGTACTGCTTCAGACAAGCTGGCAAAAGGTTCCACCTGAAAGACAATCCAATGTGAAGGGCAGGGTGTCCATGCACCATCGGGACATTGAGCACCACAGCCATTGTTACCTTGGAGCAGGAGACAAGGAAGACACTGTGACACAAGAGCTTGCCACTTTGTTTCTGAAGGCTTCTGCCCCCTGCTCTGGGTGACCTCTTTCCCATCTACAGGCTGCCTCTCTTGTGCTCAAATGTGCCAACACAAACCCCGGCTTCTCCCCACACTCTATCCTTCCTTCCAGTCTGTATGTTCTGCCTTCTAGCATCTTCCTTCTACCTCCTCTGTCTACTCTATGACCTGAGCCCTACTCTGAGCCTCTCCTACACTTGCCTGGGGTAGAAGAGCAAGCATCCTTTTCCATCCTGCTACTGTCCCATCATATTTCTGCACCAGGAATAACAATGTGGGAAATGGGTAGATTAAGGGGTGATATCAAGCCTGGCTCTTAACTAAGAGGAAAAAGGTCAGTTCTCACCTTTTACTAAAGTTTCAAATGTATTATGGATTTAAATGTAAACAAAACAGTTGTTAAGCAGGTATGGCCGTGTACCTGTAATCCCAGACGGGAGGGTCAGATGCTCAAGATCATTCTCAGCTACACAATAAGTTTAAGGTTAGCTGGACCTACATAAGACCCTGGCCTCAAAAAAAGCAAAATACGGGACTAAAAGATAGCTAGGCAGTTAAGAGCATTGGTTGTTCTTGCAGAAGACTTGGGTTTGGTTCCCAACACCCACATGACAGTTCACAGCATCTGTAACTCTAGTTCCAGGGTAACCTCTCTGTGGGTACCAGCCACACAGGGCATACATACATACACATAAAATAAAATGTTTTTAGATAAGCAAAACAGGCCAAAAAGCCTCAATAACAAACAATTCTAAAGAAAAACCAAGGGAAGGCCATAATAGTTCAATGGGTAAGGAACTTGCTACCAAACCTGACAGCCTAAGTTGATCCCCAGACCCATATGGTGGAAGGAGAGAAATGACTCCCACAAATTGTCCTCTGGCATATCATACACATAAATCTTTTTTTAAAAAATGGTTCTAAAGAGACATCCCAGGGTTAATAGGTAAGGGTAGGGAAAGATGGTTTAGACATGGTAACTAAAGTGAGACAAAGGAAAGAGAGTGACTATCAGCTTACCACATTGGCATCTACATAAAACTGGGAAACATTTATAGTGTAACACTTTACACACATGTTGCTAATATATAAAAATGGGTAAATGATGCAATGGCCTCATAGCCATGGCTTCATTGCTGGCCACTAGGAGTGCCCTACCAAACTTTAAGTGGAAACCCTTTCCTCTTTATTGACACCTACTGGCAAGGCCTGCACTAAACCAAACAGCCACATTTACAATGTGACCCCTTCCCAACCCATGCCACAATATTCACTCATATATTTTCCCTTTGTGCACACCACCCCTAATGATGCCTCAGTGGTCTAAAGCACACACTAATAGTAAAAGGCCAAGTGCACACAGCCCTAGGTCTCTGCCCATCGTCCTCCTGAACAGAGTTATGGCCTTTCTCCCCTATGGCTACATACAGTTGGGCCCCAGCCCATGGTCTTAGCTCTTTAGATCTTTTGGAAATTTCGTGGCATTCAGACTCAGGTGCAGAGCAACTCCTTGTACACCTCCAGTGATCATCATCCAGGACTCTCATACCCACATGCAGACCCCAAACCCTGGTCCTCTAACTGCACCCTAACCCTACTAAACTGATGATGCTGCAGCCAACCTTCTTCCACCAAGGGTCACTTCAAGACTGCCATGTGCTCTTCATCCCAAAGTCCAGCCCTGTAGCTGGATCAGTCCCTTCAGTCCTGTCTCATAGCTAACCTTTTACTATACCTTTATGCCTCCCACACAGCCATTGCTCCCAAACACTGGCGTGTCACTACCACTGACTCTACTCACCTGAAAAAGTGGCACCATCAACCAGGCCCTACCCCTCCATGCTCTCCACCCTCCCACCCATATTCCTTTCAACAAACCTCCAGGGAGGTCCCAAGAATGAGTAGCAGGTCTGCCATGGCAAAATCAGCCACATGTAGTAAGAATCTTGCAGGCAGCGGCTCCCCAAAGAACACAATGTCAGGTTTCACAACGCCAGTACAGACAGGACAACAGGGCACCCTGTCTGCCATCACATCAGCCTGGGGATTGGAGGGAAGAACCAAGGAAGGTAACTTTAAAGGGAAGAAAAGGCAATCACTTCTCAAGGAAATTCTGAACATTCAAAAGCTATATTGTAATGGAACCCGTGTAGCTTTAGCAATTTTGTCAACTGTTTCTTATAACCCTCAAAAATTGGGTGGTGGGTGAAATATTTCAAATCAATTCCTAGACATCGCCTAGTTTTACCCACAGATTCTCCTGTAGCTTCCACCTGTGATGAGGACAGCCCTCAGACCGTGTTTTGTGGTCATCCCGCACAGCAAGAAAGGCAGCGCAAACCTGACCCCAGTTTGAGCTGTAGTGACCAGGGTGCTACTTCTGCCCTAGAAGGGGTTCAAGTCAGCTTCAGCTCACTGCTGGCATTGTCAGGTGTGACCATAGCTGCCAAAGACTGCCTCCTTATAGGATAAGGAAAAGTAGATGACACCTAGTTATCTCATGCCAAGTAGAAAAGGAGGCAGTGTCACTTTCTGACAAGGCACACATAAATAAATCTTTATAGCTAACTGAGTAGATTTTAGTGGAATAAATTCAGCAAGAATGAGTAGAAACAACCATCAAAATCTGTCAAAGTATCAGCTACAAATCATAAAACTATATGGTGTTTAAATTAATAGGGAAAAAATGACCAGCT